ACTCTTCAAATACAGTTTAAATCCTGACTAGAATAAAATATATACATATTGTTCCGGTTCGAAGTTTGTTTAATATTTTGTTTTGATTTTGTTTGTTATCCCGCGGATTGCTGACAAGTGTATTTTGGTCACTTTCCACTAGAGGCGCCATAGTACCGAGCAAAAGGGCCCGGTACTTGGGGTTGGCGCTGTTATCGACCAGAGTTATCGAGAAACCCTCAGAGAGGTAACATCGCTAAGGTGGGCGTTAAGTGAACGCAGTTGCCATCTTGTGTGACGTCAATCGCGAATTGTTGTCGCGAAACTTAGACACGTGGTTCCTTTGTGCATGCGGTCTACAAACCCTCAACCCAGGAGGCTGAACAAAACAAGGTAGGTGACCTTTTGATGCGTTTGTCAGCTTCGATCCAAATTTTAATATTATTTTTTTGGAATTGTAAAATCGCCGCGAAAAAAAGGTGTTTTCAAAGCCTTTACGTCCAACACATATCTACAAAAGAATTCACCTTTTTTTTTTCATTTTTACTTTCCGATCGTAAACTAGAGAAGCATTGTAATGGAGAAATTGAAAAGTTCTCAAAATTGAAATATTAAAAAACTTGAAAAATCGAGAAATTTAAAAATCGAAAAGTTAACAAAAATTTGAAATCGAATAACTGAGATGTCAAAAAATTTAAACATAAAAAAAATGGAAAAATTGGAAAATTGGAAAATCGGAAAATCTAGAAATCGAGAAATCGAAAAATCTAAAATTTAAAAAATTCAAAAATAAAAAATCTGAAACCGAGAAATCCTAGATCGAAAATCGCAAAAATTGAAAAATGGAAAAATTGAAAAATTCATAAACTGAAACATCGAGTAATTCAAACAAGTCGCAAAATCGAAAAATTGAAAAGTTGAAACATCGAGAAATCAAAACAGAAAAATTCAAAAAAATAAAATAAGTATTCAAAAATCCAGAAATTGAAAAGTTTCCCAAATTAATAATTTGTGATAACGAAAACTTGAAAATTAGAGAATTCTAGAAATCGAAAAGAAAAATTTTTGAAATCGAAAAACTCAGATGTCAAAAAATCGAAACATCAACAAAAAATGAAAAAATTGAAAAATCGGAGAACCGCAAAATCGAAAAATCGAAAATTGAAAACAATTGAAAAATTGAAAAAATCTGAAAGTTGAAAGCCGAACGAGAAATCGGTAGATCGAAAATCGCAAAATTGAAGAGTTAGAAAAACTGAAAAATCGAGAAATTGAAAAATTCCAAAACTAAAATGACAAGAAATTGGGAAATTTAAAAATTGAAAAATTAAAAATCTGAAACATTGACAAATCCAAACAACAAAAGTCGAAAAATTGAAAGATTGAGAAATCTAAAGATCCAGAAATCAAAACATCAAAATTGGAAAAAAAATATCCAAAAATTGAAAAAACTAGAAATTGAAAAGTTTTCAAAATTGAAATATTGAAAAATTCAGAAGTCGAAAAATTGAAAAATCTGGAATTCTAGAAATCGAACAGTCGAAAAATGTTTAAAATCGAAAAACTGAAATGTCAAAATATTGAAACGTCAACATAAAATGAAAAAAAATTGAAAAATTGAAGAACTGAAAAGTCGAAAAATCGAAAAGACGAGAAATCGAAAAATCTAAGATTTGAAAAATTGAAAAATTAAAAAATCTGATCGTTGAAAACCGAGAAAACGGTAGATTAAAAATCGCAAAAATTCAAAAATTGGAAAATTGAAGAATTGGAAAACTGAAAAATTGGGAAATCGAAAAACTGAAAAATTCCAAAACTGAAACATCAAGAAATCCAAACAACAAAAGTCGAAAAATCGTGAAATTGAAAAATATAAATATTGAAAAATCAAAACATGGAAATTCGAAAAAATAAAATATAATCAAAAATTGAAAAATCCAGAAATTGAAATATTGAAGAATTGCGGAATAAAAAAAATTAAAAAATCGAGAATTCTAGAAATCGAAAATTCGAAAAATTTTTAAAATCGAAAAACTGAGATCAATAGAATACATAGATTTCTCGAATTTTCTGCTTTTCGATTTCTCGATTTATTTACATTTCGATGTTCCGATTTTTTAGTTCAATTTCCCGATTTTCCAATTTTTCAATTTTTCGATTTTTTTATTTCCAATTTTTTAGTTTTTTAATCTCCAACTTTCATCGATTTCTCGATGTTTCAATTTCTGAATTTTTCGATCTGTCCATTTTTCGATTTCTTGATTTTTCGATTTTTCGACTTTTCGGCTTTTCAATCGAAAAGTCAAACAATTTTTAAAAACGAATAAGCCAGTGTCAAGTAATCGAAATATGAAAAAAATTGTTTAATCGAAAACTTGATGAATCGAAAAATGTAAAATTTGAAAACCGAAAAATTGAAAAATCGAGAAATCCAAAAATCTATTTACAATTTTAAAAATTGAAAAATGAAAATATCGAAAAATTGAAGAATCTAAAAAAATAAAAAATCGAGAAACCATTATCTCAAAATTGAAAAACTAAATTTCAAAATCGAAGAATGGAAACTCATTAAATCTAAAAACCAAGAAGTTGGGAAACCTAAAATACGAAATTTAAAAAATCACAAAAATTGGAGCATCAGAAAACTCGAAATCGAGAAATCGAAAAATTCAGAAACTAAAACATCGAGAACTCGAAACGGCCAAAATCGAAAAATCGAAAAGTTAGAAATTAAAATTTTACAAATTAAAAAAAAAAGATGATAGTCAAAATCAAAAATTTAAAAATCGGAAAGTTGGGTTCAACAATAAAAAAACCGAAACATCTAAATCTAAATAAACCGAGAAATCGAAAAACTGAAAAACTGAAACTTGTAAAACTTAAAAACCGAAAAATTGAAAAATCGAGAAGCTGAAAAATCGAGAAATCGAAAAATATAAAATTTCCAAAACTGAAAAACATACTCGAAACATCAAAATATCGAAAAATTGAAAATCTAAAATTCAGAAATCTGAAAATTCAATAATCTAAAATTTAATAATTCAAAAATTGGAAAATCAAATATTTAAAAATCGAAAAATTCAAAAATCCAAAAAGTATAAAATCGAGAAACCGAAAAAACGACAATTTGAAGAATCGACATGCGTATTGAAAAAATCGAAATATTAAAAAAAAATCGAAAACAATTCAAAATCGAAAAATTGAAAAGTGGGAAAGCGAGAAATCGAAGATTTGAAAAGTCGTGATATATTTACAAAAATTGTTATATCTACAATTTTGATTTTTTTTTGCAAAAATCTCGATGTCTATAATGAAAATTCAACTTATATTCATAAACCACAAGTTCAGAACTTAAACCTTTACAAGATTGAAAAGCACTCGATTTTGCAGTTTTAAAGTTAAATTGTAAAGTATTGCCGTACAATTTTGATTTTTTTTTTCTAGAAACCTGGATGCCGTTTTATAAAATTGAAATAACAGTTACTATTGAAAAATTTGGAGATGACGTAATTCCAATAATGATGGGCATGAGCAGACTAATTTTGGTTAACTTTTACCATCTACATTATATTATTTACATTAATATAAAATTTGACAACAGTCGAGTCGGTCCGGTAGTTTCGGAGATTATCTGCCTAATAAAAATCCGGGCAGACCGCAAACAGACAGACGAAAACGGCCGATTTCATTAGACAGATAATCTCCAAAACTACTGATTTGATTGTTGTCAAGTTTTATTAATATTTTGGGGCTATTATGTAGATGGTACAACGCTAACCAAAATTTGTTTAATCACCAACGATTTAATGACATTACCGCAAAATTTGTGCATAGTGAATTTTATTTACATTTTATAGAATAACAAAATAAACGTGTGGTTCATGAGTCCGCTTCGATTTTTACATTAAGCAGGTCATCATAAATAACAAAATCGCAAAATCAAATTTTAGCATTTGGCAATCAAAAGTCGTAACTTTTTCGAAATTATTGACTTTTATTAAAAAAGTCTCTCGTTTCCAAGCCTTTATTGTGGGTTTCGACATTTTCGGCCACTTTTTAACAAAAACAAATTTAAAGATAACATAAAATTAGAGCTTGGTTAAAATGATTAATAAAACGCGATTTTATCGTTTTGTTGTCATTTTTTCGGATTGATCTTGGGTATCAAGAGTTCACCATTTTTTTTAAATTAAAATGCATTACATAATTAATCCGAACATCAATCAGCCAAATCAATAAAAACTAAAATATTTATCAAAAGCCAGTTATCAGTCTAAAGTGACCTCCAAGTATCATATAAAACGCGAAAAATTTGTCACAACTTATCACGTTCGATCCACCTACTCAAAATGAAGCTACTTATTTGCACTTTCCTGTTAATAACATCCACCTTGGTAAGACCAGACAATTTTCATTTTAAAACCACTTATTCCGGACCTATTTAGGCCGCTCTGAACCCCCCACGCCAGGCAAAACTCGACCAAATTAGCGACGAGTGCCAATCAGAGTCGCAGGTATCCGCAGAAACTCTAAATAAGCTTCGCCAGACATAACAATTCGAGGAAATTCCGGCACTCCAGAAGCACATTTTCTGCGTTTTGAAAAAGACCGGAGTGATATCGGAGTCCGGCGACATTAACATCGACGTCGTCAAGACGAAACTGAAGAAGGTTAACGCAAGTGACGAAACGGTGAACGCTGTAGAACAGCAGTGCGTGGTTAAGAAGGACACACCTGCAGTTACAGCTTTCGAATTCACGAAGTGCATCTACAGCAAACAGCCGAATTTTTAGCCAGCGGATTAATTTGACAAATGTGAAAATATAATGACTGATAAAAGTAATTAATTTCAAATAGTTTTGTTTTTATTTTTAACCTGCTTTAAAATTATGTTTGTTTACAAAACAAGCCACTATTTATCACGGTTTAGTTTCATGTTAGAATTATTTTTCTAAGAAATGTACTTAATTAAAGAAAAAAAAACAGCTGATAACATTATTTATATAAGTGCCAAATTTAGAGGCAAATATTTATCAGTTAGTACCAAATCAAGATGCGGTCGCTTCTGTGTATTCTGTTCCTAGTTGGCTCCGCTTTGGTAAGCCACCGTATTTCCAGATTTATCACCTATTACTGTAAAATTTGTAGGCTGTTTTAACGCCGGAACAACTCGCCAAAATCGAACCCATCAGTAAAGAATGCCGAACTATATCGAAAGTAACCGACGAACAAATAACCAGAATCCGAAATGGTGAATCCGTGGGTGACCCCGAAATCAAAAAACACCTCCTGTGTGGTTCCCAAAAGACGGGACTGATATCAGACTCGGGTGACCTAAACTGGGACACTATTAAGAGCAAACTCCAGAAAGCGGCAACAAGTGATGAGAAGATTGCCGAAATAGAAAAGTGCGCCGTTAAAAAAGAAAAACCGGAAGATACGGCCTTCACGTTAACGAGTTGTATTTCTACACACCAACCTAATTTCTCTCCTGCAGATTAGCGACTTTGACTGTAAAAAAATCGAAAAATAAAGTTTTTGATTGAATAATTTTTCATATGACGTCATCAGTGCTTTGGAGGGGATGCAATACATGCGTTATTTGCACTCTGCGAAAGGTCAAGGCAACTTAAAGTTAGATCTTGGTTAAAATGACCCAAATATCGCCAGTTTTATCGTTTGTTCTTATTTTGGTCACTTTTAGATTGATCTTGGATATCAAAAGTTCATCACTGTTGTAAAATTCCAATGAATGATATAACTGATTTCAACATAAATCAGTCAATTCAATAAAGACTAAAAAACTATTTCAAGACCATTGTGAAAACAATAATTGTAGAAAAATAGACACAATTACCGAAGCTTTGCGGGGTACCATCAAGATTTTTTCTATTTACAAAACAAGCCATTATTTATCATTACGCAGGAATTCATGTTCTATTTATTTTTCTAATAAATTTAAATAGTGACAAAAACACAGATAACATTACCATATAAGTACCAAACTCAAAGAAAATATTTATTATACCAACTAATAAGTATTTTCTTTGAGTAGTATCTATATTTTGTTATGTTATTTCAGTGTACTTAATGTATGTTTTGCTTTGACGATTGTGTACAATTATTTTGTAATAACAAGAAATGAATATTATTATTCTTATTAAAAAATTACTATTAATGACGCCATCTGTGTCGATTTTTATTAGACAGATAATTTAATTTTTCAATTTTTCAAATTTTTTTTTATTCTTAAAATTTTAGATCTGTTTCTATTTTTCGATTTTTCGATGTGTTATTTCTCGATTTTTCAATTTTTCGATTCTTCAAATGTTCGGTGTTTTAGTTTATCTTCCGATTTAAGATGTTTCAAATTTTCGATTTTTTAATTTTTCAATTTTTGGTTTCTAAATTTTATGTTTCAATTTTTCCATTTTTTTAATTTTTAAGTTTTACGATTTTTCACTATTTGATGTTTCGGTTTCTCGATCTTTCGACTTCTCACTTTTAGAATTTTTGGTTTTGCAATTGTTCGATTTTAAAAATTTTTGATTTTTCGATTTTTCAATTTTTCAAATTTTGGCGTTTCTAAATTCTCAATTTCTCGATTTTTATTTTTTCGATTTCTAATGTTTTGGGATTTAAAAAATTTTCCGATTGTTCAAATTTTCCGATTGTTCAAATTTTCCGGTTTTCCAGTTTTCAATTCTTGAACTTTTTGATGTTTTGATTTCTCGATGTTTCGATTCTTCAATTTTCGGATATATTAATTTTACGATTTTTGAAATTTTAGATGCTTCTATTTCCCGATTTTCCGATATTTCAATTTTTTGCATTTCTAAATTTTGATATCTCAATTTCTCAATTTCTCAAGTTTTCAGTTTCTTAAGGTTTCAACGTTTCACTGTTTTTCTTTTTCAATTTTTCAAAATTTTTTGATTTTTTAAATTTTAGACTTTTCGATTTTTATATTTGTCGATTTCTGGATGTATTATTTCTCGATTTTTCAAGTTTTCGATTGTTCAGATGTTAGATTTTTAGTTTTTTCTTTCGAGTTTTCAATTTTTCAGTTTTGGCGTTTCTTAATTTTTTGCTTCCCAATTTCTCGATTAAGGACTTTCTTGATTTTTCGACTTTTCAAGTTCACGATTTTTTAGTTTTTCGTATTCTGACTTTCTAGATTCCTCCAATTTTCGCCCTTTGAGTTTGGAAATTTCCTAATTTTTGAACTTTTCGATATTTCGATTTTTCGACTTTTCTTTTAATTTTTTATTTTTCGAATTTTTCAATTCTTCCAGTATTTGATATTCTGATTTCTCGGTTTTTAGATTTTTCAATGTATCGATATTTTAATTTTACGATTTTTAAAATTTTTTATATTACAAATTCTCGATTTGCCGACCTTTAAAGTTTAGGATTTTTCAATTTTTCGATTTTAAATTTCTCAACTTTGGAATATTTAAAATTTTGGTGTTTCTAAATTTTCGATTTCGCAAGTGTTCAACTTTTGAAGTTTTCAACGTTTCATTCTGGGATTTTTCAATTTGGGTTTTTTCAATATTTCGATTTTTGAATTTTTCGTTTTTTCGACTTTTCCATTTTTTGATTTTTTACTTTTTCAATTTTTCAAAATATCTAAGTTTTTTAAAATTTTGGAGTTTTTGATTTTTCTATTTTTTGATTTTTTTATGTTATTTTTCGATTTTTCAATTTTTTCCAGTCTTCAAATATTCGGCTTTTGGTTTTATCTTTCGAGTTTAAAATTTTTCGAATTTCTAGCGTTCCTAAATTTTCTGTTTCCCAATTTTTCGATGAATCGGTTTTTTGATTTTTGACTTTTTAAGTTCTCGATTTTTCGACTTTGATTCTTCGACTTTCTGATTCTCGATTTCGTTCCGACGTTTGAGTTTTGAGATTTTTTAATTTTTGAATCTTTATATATTTCAATTTTTCACCTTTTTTTAAGTATAAATTTTTTATTTTTTGATATTTTGGTTTCCCGATTTTTCAGTTTTTAGATTCTTTAAATTTTATATACATATTTTGAAATTTCGATTTTTAGTTTTACGATTTTTCAGTTTTTTGAGTTTTCGATGTCCCGATTGTTTTTTGACTTTCCGATTCCCCGGTTTTTCATTTTTTCTGTCTCCGAAGTCTTCAATGTTTCTGTTTTGGGATTTTCCAATTTTTCGAGTTTTAAAATGTTTCGATTTTTTAAATTTAAAATTTTTCGATTTTTCATTTCTTCGTTTTTTTGATGTTTTCATTTCTCGATTTTTCGATTTCTTGATTCCTCAATTTTTGGTTATTTTAATTCTACGAATTTTAGAACCTTCAATTGCTTTTTCAATTTAAAATTTTTTTTTAATTTCTTAAATTTTAGAGTTTTCGTTTCTTCTATTTTTCCATTTTTTGATGTTACTTCTCGATTTTTATATTCGACATTTTAGTTTTATCTTTCGAGTTTAAAATTTTTCGAATTTGCAAATCTTCAATTTTTAGCGTTTTTAAATTTTTTGTTCGATTTTTCGACTTCGTTTCAGTTTTGGGATTTTTTAATTTTTGAGTTTTTCAATGTTTCGATTTTTCGACTTTTTTTTAAATCGTAACTTTTTCGATTTTTTTGGTGTTTTGATTTTCCAATGTTTCAATTTTTCCGTTCTTGAATTCTGAGATTTTTTAATTGTTCTTCCATTTTTCTATTTTGCAATTTTTCGAATTTTAAAATTTTCTTATCTTTCGACTTTTCGTTTTTAGAAATGTTGTTTTTGCAGTTTTTCGATTTTAAAAATTTTTGATTTTTCGATTTTTCAGTTTTTCAGTTTTACAATTGTTCGGCTATTAATCTCCCGATTTATCGAGATTTCAATGTTTCACTATTTTAGTTTCTCGATTCCTCGTTTATTTTTTAATTTAAATGTCTATCTCGAATTTCTCGGTTTTTCAATTTTTCGTTATTTTAATTTTACGATTTTTCAATTTTTCGGTTCTTGAAATTTTCGATTTTAAATTTCTCAACTTTTGAATATTAAAATTTTTGGCGTTTCTAAATTTTCGATTTCTCAAATGTTCAATTTATCAAGTTTTCGACGCTTCACTGTGGGATTTTTCAATTTTGGGTTTTCTCAATATTTTGATTTTTGAATTTTTCCTTTTTTCGGCTTTTTTATTTTTTGATTTTTTAATTTTTCAATTTTTCAAAATATCTATTAGATTTTTAAAATTTTGTGGTTTTCGAATATTCTGTTTTTCGATTTTTTGATGTTATTTCTCGATTTTTCAAGTTTTGGATTTTCTGGCGTTTCTAAATTTTCTGTTTCCCTATTTCCCGATTAATCGATTTTTTGATTTTTCGACTTTTTAAGTTCTCGATTTTTCAATTTTTCCCATTCACTATCTCGATTTTTCACCTTTTTTTTGGTTTCCCGATTTTCCAGTTTTTAGATTCTTTAAATTTAAATACATATTTTGAAATTTGGATTTTTCAGTTTTTCATTTTTTCTATTACTCAATTTTTCGTTTTTTTTTTTTAATTTTCGAGTTCCCGGGTTTCCGATGTTTCACTTTTACGATTTTTCAATTTTTGGTTTTTTGAGTTGTCGATGTCGCGATTTTTTGACGTTCCGATTGCCCGGTTTTTAATTTTTTCGATTTCCCAAGTCTTCAATCTTTCAGTTTTGGGAATTTCCAATTTTTCAATTCTTTGATTTTTTGATGTTTTCATTTATCGATTTTCCGATTTTTCGTTTCTTCAATTTTTGGATATTGTAGTTGTATCTTTCGAGTTTAAAATTTTTCGAATTTGCAAATTTTCGATTTTTAGCGGTTCTAAATTTCCTGTTTCCCAATTTCTCTATTAATCGATTTTTTGATTTTGCGATTTTTCAAGTTCTCGATTTTTCGACTTCGACTGATTTCTCGATTTTTCAATTTTTCGTACTCTAACGTTTCAGATTTCCCAAATTTTCGACATTTCAGTTAACTTTTTCGATTTTTTGGTGTTTTGATTTCGAAATTTTTGAATTTTTCGGTTCTTAAATTTTGCGATATATTAATTATTATTCTATTTTTCAATTTTTCGAATTGTCGAATTTTACGATCTTTCAAGTTCTCGCTTTTCGAATTTTGAGTTTCGCAATTTTTTGATTTTAAAAATTTTTGATTCTTCTATTTTTCAATTCTTCGGATTTAAAATTTTTCTGTTAATAATCCCGATTTATCGAGATTTCGATGTTTCGACATTTCAGTTTTTCTGAAATCTGAATTTAAATATGTCAAATTCGAATTTTTCTATTTTACGATTTTTTGTTGATTCGATTTCCCAATTTTTTAATATCATTTCAGTTTTTCGAATTTTCGATTTCTCGACATCTCGCATTTTCGATTTTTAGAATTTTTGGATTTTCTTTAAATTTTGACATTTTGATATTTCGATTTCTTTCGATTTTCGACTTGTCGAATTTCGATTTTTCCAATTTTTGATTTTCTAAATTTTTTATGTTTCGAAAAGCAGACCTTAACAAAAAATTACAAATTCAAAATAGCGCGATTTGTTAATTTTTTATACTCTAGGAAACTTCAAGGCAACATAAATTTACAGCTTAGTTAAAATGACTTAAAAATCCCTAGTGTTATCGACTGTTATTATTTTCATCACCTTTTGGACTGATCTTCGGAATCACTATTATACAACTAATCAATTTTATACGAAAACTAGTTATCAGTTTAAGATGAACTGCACATGACACCTCCATAATAAGTATATAAAACGCGAAAAACTTATCAGAACAATATTCCATTTCGTGCACTTACCGAAAATGAAGCTACTTGTTTGCTGTTTCCTGTTAATAACATCCACCTTGGTAAGACTGCCATTTTCGTTTTAAATCCACTTACTTCGAACCTCTTTAGGCTATTCTGGACCCTTCACGCCAGGCAAAACTCGACCAGCTTAGCGACGAGTGCCAATCTGAGTCGCCGGTATCCGCAGAAACTTTAAATAAGCTTCGTCAGACCGAACAATTCGAGGAAATTCCGGCACTCCAGAAGCACATATTCTGCGTTTTGAAAAAGACCGGAATCGTGTCGGAGTCCGGCGATATTAATATCGACGTTGTCAAGACGAAACTGAAGAAGGTTAACGCAAGTGACGAAACGGTGAATACTGTAGAACAGCAGTGTGTGGTCAAGAAGGATACACCTGTAGTTACAGGTTTCGAACTCATGAAATGCGTCTACAGCAAACAGTCGAATTTTTCTCCAGCTGATTAAAGACAAGATTTCTTCGAATTTAGTTTGACTGATAAAAGTAATTAATTTCAAACTGTCTTTAGTTTTTTTTTAATCTGCTTTAACTTAAACGGCTAACCTAATTTTTCTCCTGCAGATTAGCGACTTTTATTGTAAAAAAATCGAATAATAAAGATTTTAATTGAACAATTTTTCATATGACGTCATCAGTGCTTTGGAGGGGATACAAATACAAATTTTAGGTGGCGATAAGACGGAAACAAAAACGCTTTTGCGTTTTTTGCATTCTGCGAAAGGTCAAGGCAACATTAAGTTAGACCTTGGTTAAAACGACCTCAATATAGCCAGTTTTATCGTTTGTTGTTGTTTTGGTCACCTTTTGGACTGATCTTGGGTATCAAAAGTTCATCACCGTTGAAAAATTTCATAAACTTTAATCAGTCATTCAACTAAAACTAGAAATCTGTTTAAAGTACATTGTAAAGACAATTATGAAAAAATACACAGAATTATCGAAGTTCTGGGGGGTGCTATCAATTTTTTTTTTTACAAAGCAAGCCATTATTTATCATACATGAGTTTTGTTGTATTTATTTTTCCAACAAATTTAAATAGTGAAAAAAACACAGATAACATTACTATATAAGTGCTAAAATCAAAGCAAATATTTATTAGTTGGTATCAAATCAAAATGCGCACTTTTCTGTGTATCGTGTTCCTACTTAGCTCCGCCACCGTTCTTCCCGATTTTCATACTGTTATTACGTAAAACCTCTAGGCTGAACTGACACCTGAGCAACTCGCCAAACTCGAACCCATTCGTAAAGAATGCCAAGTTATACCACCAGTGACCGGGAAAATAACTCAACTACCAAGTGGTGAAATAGTCGATGACCCCAAAAATATAAAAAAAAATACGTGGTGTGTGTTGCCCAAAAAACTGGATTAATATCGGACTCAGGTGACTTAAACTGGGATACTATTAAAACTAGGCTCAAAACAAGCGGTTACAAGTGATGAAAAGATTGCCGAAATAGAAAAATGTGCCTCTCAACAAGCAACGCCTCAAGATACCGCGTTTATGTTTATGGAATGCACTTCTAAACATCAACCTAACTTCTCTCCTGTGGATTAGTGATTTTGAATTTTGCAAATTCGAGAATTAAAGATTTGGTGAACGAGATTTGATTTATAATTTCAAGGTAGCGTGGCAAGTTGCTTTCGACGAAAATCGTCCTTATGTTGACACAATTTGGTACTATTAGGGATTCTCGCCCAGCCACCGTACGAAGTCTAAGATTATGATTATATTTTTGTAGTGTTACAGTTTGCACACGTCTTTAATTGAAAACTAACATTGTTATGTATTTTCTGGGATATTTTTGGATATAAAACCAATATTCATAGGGATGATCTTATAAACCATCGCTACAACACGAAATTACTAGGGAACCTTAAAACGTGAAGGTTTGTGGAAATATTTGTGTCAAAAATTTAATGGTAATGACGCCATGTGAGTCAATTTAAATAAATGTTAAAAAGTAACACAGTCTTGAACTTACGGTTTATGAATCTGTCTTGAAGTTTTATTCTAGACATCGAGCTTTTTAGAAAAAAAATTGATATTTCATTCAGTAGGGGATTTCTCGATTTTTTTAGATTTTTTTTTCTCAATTTTCCGTTGTTTCAGTTTTATGATTTTTCAGTTTCCGATTCCCCGATTTTTCATTTTTTCAATTTCCAAAGTTTTCGATGTTTCAGTTTTGGGATTTTCCAATTTTTCGAAATTAAATGTTTTTGGATCTTTTAAATTTTCAATTTTTCGATTTTTCAACTCTTGGATTTTTTGATGTTTTGATTTCTCGAAGTTTCGATTTTTCGATTCTTCAATTTTTCAGTTGTAATTTTTTGTTTCCCAATGAATCGATTTTTTGATTTTTCGACATTTCAAGTTCTCGATTTTTCGACTCCGATTCTTCGACATTCTGATTTCTCGATTTTGATTTCCTGACTTTCCGATGTTTGAAGTTTATGATTTTCGAATTTTCCAGTTCTATACCTTTTCGATTTTAACAATTTTCGACTATTGAATATTTCAATTTTTGGCGTTTCTAAATGTTCGATTTCCCGAGTTTTCGACGTTTCATTGTGCGATTTTTCAATTTTGGGTTTCGTCAATATTTCGATTTTTCAATTGTTCGCCTTTTCGGCCATTTGACTTGTTACTTTTTCAATTTTTCAATTTTTTTTTGATTTTTGAAATTTTAGAGATATCGATTTTTCTATTTTTCGATTTTTTGTTATTGAGACAATTTTTTAACTTTTCGATCTTCAAATGTTTGATATTTTAGTTTCATATTTCGCGTCTAAAATTTTTCGAATTTTTGGCGTTTCAAAATGTTCCCAATTTCTCGAAAAATCGATTTTTTGATTTTTCGACTTTTCAAGTTCTCGATTTTTCGACTTCGATTCTTTGACTTTCTGATTTCTCGATTTTTCGATTTTTCCTATTCTATCTTTTCAGATTTCTCCAATTTTTGACATTTGAGTTTTGGAATTTTTAATTTTTTTTTAATTTTTAAATATTTTTCGATTCTGTCAATTTTAGATATTTCGAAATTTGGATTTTTCAGTTCTTCGATTTTTCAATTTTTCTATTACTCAATTTTACGATATTTGATTTGGGAGAATTCTGGATTTTTTTCATTTTCGATTTCTCAGTTTTCCGACGTTTCAGTTTTACGATTTTTCAGTTTCTCTATTTTTCTATTTTTCATTTTTCGATTTCTAAAGTTTTCGATTTTTCAATTCTTTGATTTTTGATGTTTTGATTTTTCGGTTTTTCGATTCTTCAATTTTTGGATTCTAAAATTTTTCGAGTGAATATTTCAATTTTCGGCGTTTCTAAATTTTGGATTCCTCAAGTTGTCGATGTTTCAGTGTGGGTTTTTCAATTTTGGATTTTTTCAATATTTCAGTGTCTGAATTTTTCGTCTTTACATCTTTTCTATTTTTTCAATTTTCACTTTTTCAAAATCTTTTTATTTTTAAAGTTTTCGATTTTTTGTTATTTCTCGATTTTTAAAATTTTCGATTCTTCAAATGTTCGATATTTTAGTTTCATCTTTCAAGTTTAGAATTTTTCAATTTTTCAATATTTGGCGTTTCAAAGTCTTCGGTTTTCCAATTTCTCGATTAATCAATTTTTTGATTTTTGAATATTTTAATTTCTCGATTTTCAGACTTCGATTCTTCGACTTTCTCATTTCTTGATTTTTCCTATTTTAACTTTTCAGATTTCTCAAATTTTTGACATTTGCGTTATGGGATTTTTTAATTTTTGAATTTTTCAATCTTTCGATTTTTCGAATTTTTTATAAACATTCTATTTTTGATTTTTTGATGTTTTGGTTTCCCAATTTTCCAATTTTCCGATTCTTTGAATTTTAGATATTTCGAAATTTCGATTTTTCGGTTCTTCGATTTTTCAATTTTTCTATTACTCAATTTTACGATTTTTATTTGGGAGAATTCTGGATTTTTTTTATTTTTCGATTTCTCAATTTTCCGACGTTTCAGTTTTACGATTTTTAAGTTTTTCTATTTTTCAATTTTTGGCGTTTCTAAATTTTCCATTTCTCGATTAATCTATTTTTTGGTCATTCGACTTTTCAATGTATCGGTTTTTCGACTTTCCGATTTCCCAATTTTTCATTTTTTCGATTTCTAAAGTTTTCGATTTTTCAGTTCTTCGATTTTTGATGTTTAGATTTCTCGGTTTTTCGATTCTTCAATATTTGGATTCTATAATTTTTTGGTTCTAAAATTTTTCGACTGAATATTTCAATTTTTGGCGTTTCTCAATTTTCGATTTCTCAAGTTCTCGATGTTTCAGTGTGGGTTTTTCAATTTTGGATTTTTTCAATATTTCAGTTTGTGAATTTCTCGTCTTTACGTCTTTTCTATTTTTTGAATTTTTACTTTTTTAATTTTTCAAAATCTTTTGATTTTTAAAATTTCAAAGTTTTCGATTTTTCTATTTTTCGATTTTTTGTTATTTCTCGATTCTTCAAGTTTTCAAATGTTCGATATTTTAGTTCCATCTTTCAAGTTTAAAATTTTTCAATTTTTCAATTTTTGACGTTTCAAAGTTTGCGGTTTTCCAATTTCTCGATTAATTGATTTTTTGATTTTTGAACATTTTAATTTTTCGATTTTCCGACTTCGATTCTTCCACTTTCTGATTTCTTCATTTTTCTATTTTTCTTATTCTAACTTTTCAGATTTCTCAAATTTTTGACGTTTGAGTTTTGAAATTTTTGAATTTTTCAATTTTCGATGTCTGGATTTTTCAGCTCTTCCATTTTTGGATATTTTAATTCTATGATTTTTTAAATTTTCGGTTCTTCATTTTTCGATGCTATAATTTTTCGATTCTAAAATTTCGGTTTCTCAAGTTTTCGATGTTTTAGTGTGGGTTTTTCGATTTGGGGTTTTTCAATATTTCAGTTTTTGAATTTTTCGTTTATTCTATTTTTTGAATTTTTATTTTTTCAATTTTTCAAAATCATTTGATTTTTTAAATTTTAGAGTTTTCGATTTTTCGATTTTTTATTATTTCTCGAATTTTGAATTTTTCGATTCTTCAAATGTTCAATATTTTAGTTTCATCTTCCGAGTTTAGAATTTTTTCAATTTCTCGATTAATCGATTTTCTGATTTGTGAACATTTCAAGTTCTTGATTTTTCGATTTTGATTCTTCGACTTTCTGACGTCTCGATTTTTTAATTTTTCGTATTTCTCAAATCTTCGACGTTTGAGTTTTGGCGTTTTTTAATTTTTGAATTTTTCAATATTTCGATTTTTCGCCTTTTTTAATCTAAAATTTTTTGATTTTTTGATGTTTCGGTTTCCCGATTTTTCCATTTTTCTGTTTTAATCTTTCTATTCTTTGAGTTTTAGGTATCGTATTTCTAAATTTCGATTTCTCAGTTCTCCGACTTTTCAATTTTTCAGTTTTTGGAATTTTTAAATTTTACGATTTTTCACTTTTTTGGAGTTTCGTTTTCTCGATCTCATTTTCTCGCTGTTAGAATTTTCGGTTTTGCAACTGTTCGATTTTAAAAATTTTTGATTTTTGGTTTTTTCAATTTTTTCGATTCAACGTTTTTTTTATTAGTTTCGAATTTTTCGATTTTACGATTTTTTATTGTTTCGACTTTTCTAATTCTTCCTGATACAGCGGTTAGTAAAAAAGTACAAATTCATTGAAGCGAGATTTGTTGATTTTTTTATACTGTGAAATTCAAGGCAACATATTAATAGCTGGGATAAAATGGCTTAAAAATCCTTAGTGTTATCGATTGTTATTATTTAGATCACCTCTTGGACTGATCTCGGTATCACTTTTACATAACCAGTCAATTCAATAAAAACAAAAAATAGTTATCAGTTTAAGATAAACTGCACATGACATAATATATAAACGAGTAAATGTATCAGAACATTGTTGCGTTTCGTGCTTTTGCTCACAATGAAGCTACTTATTTGCTGTTTTCTGTTAATAACATCCACCTTGGTAAGACTACCACTTCCATTTTAAATCCACTTATTCCAACTCTTTAGGCTGCTTTGAGCCCCGAACAGGAAAAAAAACTCGACAAAATTAGCGACGAATGCAAATCCGAGTCGCACATATCCACAGAAACCATAAACAAAGTTCGTGAGACACAAAAATTTGAAGACATTCCGACAACCAGAAAGCACATTTTCTGCATCTTGAAAAAAACCGGAGTAGTATCGGAGTCTGGTGACATCAACATCGACACTATTAAAACAAAACTGAAGAAGGTGGACGCAAGTGACGAAACGTTAAACGCCGTCGAACAAGAGTGTGCCATTAAGAAGCAAACACCCGAAGCTACCGCTTTCGAACTCACGAAATGCATCTACAGCAAACAGGCGAATTTTTCTCCGGCGGACTGAAAGTCGGACTTTTTAGTCCTCGTGCGTTTTGTTTTACTAGAATATCTTATTAAAAATAATATAGGAGTAGTACAAATCTTTCACGTCCTCCCGTGGCCGTAAACCCTCATCCGTCCTGTTTACTCCTCTGTTTTGTGTAGATGGCGTCCATAACTAAAGAACTAAAAGGAAATGCCCCATTTTATCCCACTTTCCCCTACGCGTGTTTACTGCGGCTTCCATTCCGGAAGAAGTTAAAGGCGGACCACGTTCTCACACTGAGCAGTTTATTTCAGAAATGTTGCCGCAGGGATTTCAACCCCTTATACAACCTTCATAGAGTTGTCGGGGTACATGAGAGGCCCATTCGACATTTCATTTGGTATGATTGATGGTCTTGAGCAACAGCAACTCGCCAGGTTCGCACACCATTACCTGTACGATTCGCGAGGAAATTGAAATTAACTGCTCTCAGACGCTTATTTCATTTCATGGACCGTTAACTAGCGGGAGGGTGCTAATTTCCTAGAGAAATAATGGATGGCTTTTGAGCGGCTGTGTTAATTAGGGTACGATTAACACAAAATTTTTCCTAGGCTCTCGCCATTCGTCAAGTGGAAATTTGGGTAACCTGGTGTTGCTCGTATTAAATGAACTTAGTTCACAGTCTTAAAGTTCGGGAGCTTTGATAAGTTTCTTAGATGCGTACTTGGAGCGTTTTCACCAGTTTGTAGTATCTCTTTACAACAAATACTACCCACGCTCCGAAGTAATTTAGTGTTATTACGAAAAGATCCATATTCATCTGCAAAGTTTCGGAACATTAATATGGCTGTAGTTAATTGTATTTATTTTTCTATCTTTGAGTAATTTGCGTTCTTCGGATCACCTTTCGTTGCTCGGTGGCGGTTTATCTCGATTCATTTCTCGGCTTTTATCGCGTCTTGCTAACTTTTATTGTTTTTTCGATAGGTGCTCGTTGAAAGTTTTTATATTACGCGAATAATGCGGCGCATTGTTCGTATTTTCTGGAAAGTAGCGTTTTAACGAGATCTGGAACTATTTTAGTGTATTTGGGCCAACGCGAGGTCTTTGTTAAAAATCTGGGATATTGTGTTATCTACGTTGGTGCGTCGGGGGTTGTTATAGTTTAGTTTATGCACTGATAATGTGTGGTAAGCGATAACAAAAGTATGCACAACATTTGTTATTTGTTGCAGATTTAAGTTTAATTTAATACTCACAAATCACTAATTGTTTACGTCAAGTTATCAGAAGGTCAAAGATCTGTCCATCATTTTTAGTCACAATAAAATAATAAATTTGTCATCTATGGTGACATGTTTTTCAAGAGGGTTTTTGAGTATCTTATATAAAATAAAATTTACCGTTTACTGTTTACACGATATTCTTAACATACTTGTAAAATTTGACAACAATCGGTTGAGTAGTTTCGGAGATTGTCTAATAAAAAGCGACACACACCAGCGGAGACAGGAGAGCTATTTTTCGTACTCTGGTGGTAATGAAACGTCGAGAAAATATAAAAGTAGCCAGTCGCCCGATGGACTCGATTACAGTACTTGCTTAGCTTAAGGTCGGGAAGTAAAACATCGAATAGTTTAGAGGGTCCTTAGGGCTTTTTTAAGTTTGAAATAATCTCAAGTGTTCCCGGTGTTTTGATTTTTAAAAAGTTTTGCAGAACTCAGGGGCCTGATTATATTTTGAAAATGTTTTATAAATAGTTTCAGGGGCCCTAAATTTTTGATCATGCAAATGTTTCGAATAATCTTAGTGGATTATAGTGTTTTGATTCTGGAAAAGTTTCAAAGACTCCCAGGGGCTCCTACGTGGTGTTTTGCTTATGAAAGAGTTTTAATGAATCTCAGGAGCTTCTAGTGTTTTCATTTAAATTTGTAAGAATGTCCGGGGATCCTAGTGTTTTGATTTTAAAAATGTTTTAAAGAAACTCAGGGGCTCCTAGTGTTTCGTCTTTGAAACAGTTGTAAAGAATCTTAGGAGCTTCTAGTGTTTTGATTTTGGAAAGTTTGAAAGAATCTCAGGGGCTCCTACGTGGTGTTTTGCCTATGAAAGAGTTTTAATGAATCTCAGAGGCTCCTAGTGTTTCGTCTTTGAAAAAGTTTTGAATAATCTCAGTTTTGTTTCCAATTTGAAAGAATCTCAGGGGCTTCCAGTCTTCTCATTATTAAAGAGCTTTAAAGAATCTCAGGAGCTTCTAGTGTTTTCATTTAAATTTGTAAGAATGTCCGGGGATCCTAGTGTTTTGATTTTAAAAATGTTTTAAAGAAACTCAGGGGCTCCTAATGTTTTGTCTTTGAAAAAGTTGTATAAAATCTCAGGAGCTTCTAGTGTTTTGATTTTGGAAAGAAAGAATCTCAGGGGCTCCTACGTGGTGTTTGGCTTTAGAAAGAGTTTTAATGAATCTCAGGGACTTCTAGTGTTTTGTCTTTGAAAAAGTTTTAAAGAATCTCAGGAGCTTCTAGTGTTTTGTTTCAAATTTGAAAGAGTCTCAGTAGCTCCTAGTATTTTGATTATGAAAGCGTTTTAAAGAATCTCAGGAGCTTCTAGTGTTTCGATTTAAATTTGAAAGAGGCTAGGGGTTCCTAGTGTTTTGATTTGAAAATCTTTGAAGGAATTTCAGGGGCCCCTAGTGTTTTGAGTTTGAAAAGGTTTGAAACAATCTCAGGGGCTCCTGATGTTTGAATTTTAAAAAAGTTTTAAAAACTCAAGTTTGAAAGGACCTAGTGTTTTGGTTATGAAAAAGTTCTAAAGAGTCCCAGGAGTTTCTAGTGTTCTGATTTAAATTTGAAAGGAACTCAGAGGCTTCTAGTATTTTCGATTGTTTAAATTTTAGATACATATTTCGAAATTTCGATTTTTCAGTTATTCGATTTTTCTATTTTTCAATTCTTTGACTGTTTAAAATTTTTTTTTGTTTTCGGTTTTGCAATTGTTCCATTCTAAAAATTTTTGATTTTTCGATATTTCAATTTTTCGGTCTTAAAATGGTTCGATCATTTAATATTCCGATTTGTCGAGATTTAGATGTTTTGATTTTTTAACTTTCCGATTCTTCAATTTCTCCACATTTTAATTTTACTGTTTTTTTTTTAAATTTTAGATATTTCTCGATTTTCCGATACTTCAGGTTTACGAATTTTCAACTTTTCGATTCTATAATTTTTCGAATTAAAATTTTTCGACTTTTGAATATTTAAATTTTTGGCGTTTCTAAATTTTCGACTTTTCAATTTTCGATTTGTCAAGTTTTCAGTTACGGCGTGGGATTTTTAAATTTTGGGTTTTTTCAATATTTCGATTTTTGAATTTTTCGTTTTTTCGGCTAGTGTTTTGGTTATTAAAAAGTTCGAAAGAGTCTCAGGAGTTTCTAGTGTTCTGATTTAAATTTGAAAGTAACTCAGAGGCTTCTAGTATTTTGATTTTAAAAAAGTTTTAAAGAAATTTAGGGGCTCCTAGTGTTTTGCATTTGTAAGAGTTTTAATGAATCTCAGGAGCTTCTAGTGTTTTGATTTTGAAGAAGTTTTAAAGAATTTCGTGGGCTTCTAGTGTTTTTATTTTGGAAGGTTTGAAAGAATCTCAGAGCTTAATAGGTTTTTGTCTTCGAAAATTTTTTGTTTCAAATTTGAAAGAATCTCTGGTCCTGGTGTTTTGATTGTGAAAAAGTTCTAAAGAACCTCAGGAACTTCTAGTGTTTTGATTTAAATTTGAACGAATCTCAGAAGCTCATAGTGTTTTGATTTTAAAAAGTTTTAAAGAAAAGAAACTCAGAGGTCCCAAGTGTTTTCGTTTTGAAAAAGTTTCAAATGATCTCAGTGGCTTCTAGTATATTGTTTTTGGAAACGTTGTAAAGAATCTCAAGGGCTCCTGGTGCTTTCCTTTCGAAGAAGTTTTAAAAAGTGTCAGAGGCTTCTACTGTTTTGATTTTATAATTGAAAGAATCTTAGGGGCTCCTAGTATTGTGATTTTGAAAATGTTTGTAAGAATCTCAGGGGCTCTTTGTGTTTTGATTTTGAAAAGATTTGAAAGAATCTCAGGAACCCCTGGTATTTTGTTTTCGAAAAAGTTTTAAAAAGTCTCAGGGGCTTCTACTGTTTTTATATTTGAAAGAATCTCAGGGGCTACTAGTGTTTTGATTTTAAAATTGATTTAAAGAAACTCAGGGGCTCCTAGTGTTTTGTCGTTGAAACAGTTTTAAAGAATTTCAGGAGCTTCTAGTGTTTTGATTTTTGAAAATTTGAAAGAATTTCATGGGCTTCTATGTGGTGTTTTGCTTTAGAAAGAGTTTTAATGACTCTCAGGCGCTTCTAATGTTTTGTATTTGAAAAAGTTTTAAAGAATCTTAGGAGCTTCTAGTGTTTCGTTTCAAATTTGAAAGAATCTCAGGGGCTTCTAGTCTTTTGACTATGAAAAAGTTTTAAGCAACCTCAGGAGTTTCTAGTGTTTCGATTTAAATTTGAAAGAAACTCAGGGGCTCCTAGTGTTTTGATTTTGAAAATGTTTGAAAGAATCTGAGGGGCTCCTGGTTTGCTTTAGAAAAAGTTTTAATGAATCTTAGGGCTTAATAGTGTTTTGTCTTCGAAAATGTTTTGAAGAATCTCAGGCGCTTTTAGTGTTTTGTTTCAAATTTGAAAGGATCTCAGGGGCTTCTAGTCTTTTGACTATGAAAAAGTTTAAAAAAATCTCAAGAGCTTCTAGTGTTTCGAGTTAAATTTGAAAGAAACTCAGGGACTCCTAGTATTTTTATTTTAAAAATGTTTTAAAGAAACTCAGGGGCTCCTAGTGTTTTGTCTTTGAACCAGTTTTAAAGAATCTCATGGGCTCCTACGTGGTGTTTTGCTTTAGAAAGAGTTTTAATGAATCTTAGGGGCTTCTAGTGTTTTGTCTTTGAAAAAGTTTTAAAGAATCTCAGGAGCTTCTAGTGTTTTGTTTCAAATTTGAAAGAATCTCAGGGGCTTCTAGTCTTTTGACTATGAAAAAGTTTTGAGCAACCTCAAGAGTTTCTAGTGTTTCGATTTAAATTTGAAAGAAACTCAGGGGCTCCTAGTGTGTTGATTTTCAAAATGTTTGAAAGAATCTGAGGGACTCCTGTTTTGTTTTAGAAAAAGTTTTAATGAATCTCAAGGGCTTCTGGTGTTTTGTTTTGAAGAAGTTTTAGAAAGTCTGAGGAGCTTCTACTGTTTTGATTTTGCATTTGAAAGAATCTCAGGGGTCTCAAGTGTTTCGATTTTGAAAATCGCTTTGAGAAAATCTCAGGGGCTCCTAGTGCTTTCCTTTCCAAGAAGTTTTAAAAAGTGTCAGAGGCTTCTACTGTTTTGATTTTATATTTGAAAGAATCTTAGGGGCTCCTACTATTGTGATTTTGAAAATGTTTGTAAGAATCTCAGGGGCTCTTTGTGTTTTGTTTTTGAAAAGGTTTGAAAGAATCTCAGGGACCCCTGGTGTTTTGTTTTCGAAAAAGTTTTAAAAAGTCTCAGGGGCTTCTACTGTTTTTATATTTGAAAGAATCTCAGGGGCTCTTGTCGTTTTGCTTTCGAAGAAGTTTTAAAAAGTCTCAGGGGCTTCGACTGTTTTGATTCTATATTTGAAAGAATCTTAGGGGCTCCTAGTATTGTGATTTTGAAAATGTTTGTAAGAATCTTAGGGACTCCTACTTTTTCTATTTTGAAAAGGTTTCAAAGAATTTCAGGAGCTCCTGTTGTTTTGCTTTCGAAGAGGTTTTAAAAAGTCTCAGGAGCTTCTACTGTTTTGATTTTAGATTTGAAAGAATCTCAGGGGTTCCTAGTGTTTTAATTTTGAAAAGGTTTGAAAGAATCTCAGGGGCTACTAGTGTTTTGATTTTGATACGGTTTGAATGAATGTCAGACGCTTCAATTGTTTTGATTTTGAAAAAGTTGTAAAGAATCTCAGGGGCTTTGCTGTTTTCCTTTCGAAGAAGTTTTAAAAAGTGTCAGAGGCTTCTACTGTTTTGATTTTATAATTGAAAGAATCTTAGGGGCTCCTAGTATTGTGATTTTGAAAATGTTTGTAAGAATCTCAGGGCTCTTTGTGTTTTGATTTTGAAAAGGTTTGAAAGAATCTCAGGGACCCCTGGTGTTTTGCTTTAGAAAAAATTTTAAAAAGTCTCAGGGGCTTCTACTGTTTTTATATTTGAAAGAATCTCAGGGGCTACTAGTGTTTTAATTTTGGAAAGTTTGAAAGAATCTGAGAGGCTCGTAGTGTTTTCATTTTGAAAAAGTTGTAAAGAATCTCAGGGGCTTTTGTCGTTTTGCTTTCGAAGAAGTTTTAAAAAGTCTCAGGGGCTTCGACTGTTTTGATTCTATATTTGAAAGAATCTTAGGGGCTCCTAGTATTGTGATTTTGAAAATATTTGTAAGAATCTTAGGGGTTTCTAGTGTTTTGATTTTGAAAACGTTTGTTGGAATCTCAAGGGCTCCTAGTGTCGTGATTTTGAAAAAGTTGTAAAGAATCTCAGGGGTTCCTGCTGTTTTGATTTCGAAGAGGTTTTAAAAGTCTCAGGAGCTTGCACTGATTTGATTTTATATTTGAAAAAATCTCAGAGGTTCCTAGTGTTTTGATTTTAAAAATGTCTGAAAGAATCTCAGCAGCTTCTACTGTTTTGATTTTATATTTGAAAAAACCTCAGGGGTTCCTAGTGTTTAGATTTTGAAAATGTTTGAAAGAATCTCACGGGGCTCCTAGTATTGTGATTTTGAAAATATTTGTAAGAATCTTAGGGGTTTGTAGTGTTTTGATTTTCAAAACGTTTGATAGAATCTCAAGGGCTCCTAGTGTCGTGATTTTGAAAAAGTTGTAAAGAATCTCAGGGGTTCCCGCTGTTTTGATTTCGAAGTGGTTTTAAAAGTCTCAGGAGGTTCCACTGATTTGATTTTATATTTGAAAAAATCTCAGAGGTTCCTAGTGTTTTGATTTTGAAAATGTCTGAAAGAATTTCAGGAGCTTCTACTGTTTTGATTTTATATTTGAAAAAACCTCAGGGGTTCCTAGTGTTTTGATTATGCAAATGTATTGAAAGAATCTCAGGGGTTCCTAGTGTTTTGATTTTGAAGATGTCTGAAAGAATCTCAGGAGCTTCTACTGTTTTGATTATATTTGAAAAAACCTCAGCGGTGCCTAGTGTTTTGATTATGAAAATGTTTGAAAAAATCTCTAGGGTTCCTAGTGTTTTGATTTTGAAAATGTTTGAAAGAATCTCACGGGGCTCCTAGTATTGTGATTTTGAAAATATTTGAAAGAATCTCAGGGGTTCCTAGTGTTTTGATTTTGAAAATGTCTGCAAGAATTTCAGGAGCTTCTACTGTTTTGATTTTATATTTGAAAAAACCTCAGGGGTTCCTAGTGTTTTGATTATGAAAATGTTTGAAAGAATCTCAGGGGTTCCTAGTGTTTTGATTTTGAAAATGTTTGAAAGAATCTCAGGGCTTCCTAGTGTTTTGATTTTGAAAATGTTTGAAAGAATCTCACGGGGCTCCTAGTATTGTGATTTTGAAAATATTTGTAAGAATCTTAGGGGTTTGTAGTGTTTTGATTTTGAAAACGTTTGATAGAATCTCAAGGGCTCCTAGTGTCGTGATTTTGAAAAAGTTGCAAAGAATCTCAGGGGTTCCTGCTATTTTGATTTCAAAGATGTTTTAAAAGTCTCAGGAGCTTCCACTGATTTGATTTTATACTTGAAAAAATCTCAGAGGTCCCTAGTGTTTTGATTTTGAAAATGTCTGAGAGAATTTCAGGAGCTTCTATGTTTTGATTTTATATTTGAAAAAACCTCAGGGGTTCCTAGTGTTTTGATTTTGAAAACGTTTGAAAGAATCTCAGGGCTTCCTAGTGTTTTGATTTTGAAAATGTTTGAAAGAATCTCACGGGGCTCCTAGTATTGTGATTTTGAAAATATTTGTAAGAATCTTAGGGGTTTGTAGTGTTTTGATTTTGAAAACGTTTGATAGAATCTCAAGGGCTCCTAGTGTCGTGATTTTGAAAAAGTTGTAAAGAATCTCAGGGGTTCCTGCTGTTTTGATTTCGAAGAGGTTTTAAAAGTCTCAGGAGCTTCCACTGATTTGATTTTATATTTGAAAAAATCTCAATGGTTCCTAGTGTTTTGATTTTGAAAATGTCTGAAAGAATCTCAGGAGCTTCTACTGTTTTGATTTTATATTTGAAAAACCTCAGGGGTTCCTAGTGTTTTGATTACGAAAATGTTTGAAAGAATCTCAGAGGTTCCTAGTGTTTTGATTTTGAAAATGTTTGAAAGAATCTCACGGGGCTCCTAGTATTGTGATTTTGAAAATATTTGTAAGAATCTTAGGGGTTTGTAGTGTTTTGATTTTGAAAACGTTTGATAGAATCTCAAGGGCTCCTAGTATCGTGATTTTGAAAAAGTTGTAAAGAATCTCAGGGCTTCCTGCTGTTTTGATTTCGAAGAGGTTTTAAAAGTCTCAGGAGCTTCCACTGATTTCATTTTATATTTGAAAAATTCTCAGGGATTCCTAGTGTTTTGATTTTGAAAAAGTCTGAAAGAATCTCAGGAGCTTCTACTGTTTTGATTTTATATTTGAAAAAACCTCAGGGGTTCCTAGTGTTTTGATTATGAAAATGTTTGAAAGAATCTCAGGGGTTCCTAGTGTTTTGATTTTGAAAATGTTTGAAAGAATCTCACGGGGCTCCTGGTATTGTGATTTTGAATATATTTGTAAGAATCTTAGGGGTTTCTAGTGTTTTGAGTTTGAAAATGTTTGAAAGAATCTCAGGAGCTCGTAGTGTTTTGATTTTGAAAATATTTGAAAGAATCTCAGGGGCCCCTAGTGTTTTGAGTTCGAAAAGTTTAGAAAGAATCTGCCCTCTGGACGCAAAACATATGAAGCTCCCAAACTTTTTCATATTTAAAAAAAAAGAGTCTTAGAATTTTTACGAATTTTTAAAAAAATAAAACAAAAAAGAACTCTCTAGAATTTTGCAAAAGTAAAAGCACCAGACGCTAAACGTGAGGAATCCATAATATTTTTCACATTCTTAAAAAAAATTATTTAAAGATCCGGAAGCACACTTACGAGTAAATAGATTGAATTTTTAGATAAATTACAAAGGGTTATTAAGCAAACATTATTTTTTCTGCTATAGTAACTACGTATTAAAATAAAAAGTGTATTTGCAAAACTTTAGGAAATTTTGATAACCATTTTTTATTTAATTAAAAAAACTAATTGAGCCCTCTATTAATAGATTTCAGACACCCTGTAAAGACTAAGAAAAAACGAAACGGTCAATTTCAATTAGACACCAGCAGTCGCTGAAATTTTAGTGGTTATGTAGTGGGGGTTCTAGGGCACATTTGTATGGGAAACTTAAGCTGAAAAACAACACCAGTCAGTTGTTTCAAAAACAAAGACCAGACAATGAAAATTATTTCACCTTTTTAAAAAATACCAAATGTAGGTTTCAAACGACTTGAAAATAAAACTTTAGATTGTAACGATAATAATTAACTGCTTTTACTTTTTTCAATAATTTATTGTTAGGAAACTCGGAGGAAAAAAATAGAACCCAGATTTATAGAGGCACTGCAATATAGAAAACATACACTAAAAGATCAAAGTAGCTACCTTTAGCCACAAAGGAGCGTCTACAAGACAAACTTGAACAGATCAAGTAAATGTCAACGCTTTCATTAAAAAAAAAAAAACAACAAAGCTCCACGTCGACGAAACAATAAACAAAACTAACGAACAAACAACCGCACTTAACAACAACAAAATAATCGCAAGATTTCTTAATGCCAACAAATACAGATACCTTACGACTGTTATCATAAACTCTGAACCCAACAAAAACACTGATAAATCCCGTATATATACACCACCTCAAACAAATCCGGCTTTAAAGCACCAAAATGAAGCTAATTATCTGCCTGCTTTTCCTCGCAACCTACGCCCTGGTAAGACCACCACTCGTTTTACTTTTATTTTCACCCCATATTCTTAGGCCGCTTTGAGCCCGCAACAAGTGAACAAAATTGAACCGATCAGCAAACAATGCCGGGAAGAAACAGGAGCCACTCTGGAACAAGTGAACAAAATTCGTAGCAATGCCGTGTTCGAAGACGATCCGAAACTGAAGAAGCATGTGCTGTGTGTGGCGAAAAAAACGGGACAGGTTTCTGAATCGGGCACAATCAACGTTGAAGGGATTAAGAATAATTTAAAGAAGGTTGGGACTAGCGATGAGACCATAGCGGAGATCGAAAAGTGCCTACTTGAGAAGGATACTGCAGAGGAAACTGCGTTCCAAGTTATGAAATGTGTCTTCGACAGACAGCCGAATTTCTCGCCAGCTGATTAGAAGTGGCGTGTTTAAATGTAACAATCTGAGGAAAGGAATAAATGTTTCTTGTGTCGAATCTTGTGATATTTTCTATATGATGATGGACGGTTGGAGTTGTCCGAAATGTAAACGAATGTTCTCGAATAATAATGTGAAAAATGAGCCAAAATAGGCGACAAAAACGGATTTCTTTGAGATTTACATTTATTTTATTATTCGTTAAATTTACAGAACAAATTATATGTTTTTCTAAGTTTTCAGCTCAAAAATGTTTCCTTTTGTATCGAAAAAATTGCATACATTGTCGTTTTTAGGAGTTCACGTAGAAATTTTTGGGCAAAAAATAGAATTTTTGAAACATTAAGCAAGCCAAAAACGTGTAATGTGTCATTTTTCTATGGCAGAAAATCAATTTTAATTTGATTAATTTTTTTTTAATTTTTGATTTTTCAATGTCATTTTTCAAGTTTTGATTTTTATTTACATCGTGTTGACTGAGAACTTTTTAATAGCACCCATTTGCGAATCTTTAAAAATTATACAGTTTTTTGGTTTTAGGATTTCTCAGTTTTTCGATTTTTATTTCGCAATTTTTTAATTGTACAATGTTTCGATTTGCAGGTTTTGAGTTTTCAATTTTAAATTTTTCAAAATTTTGATTTATCAACACAACATCCGTAAACACCACTAATTTTTGTCAAAAATTAATATTTACATTTATCATTTGTGAGATTTTAAATGGGAAGTAGTATTTTTTTATCAACTTGACTTAGTGAGAAATCGAATAAACTGACAAATATTGACAATTCGAAAATAAAATAAGACGAAACCTCGGAACGAAATATATAAAAAATATTTTCTATTTATCTTTTGTCTATTTCAAGTTTGGGACTTTTCAATACTTTTAAATTTTTCGATTTTTCGACTTTTCGTGTTTTTGATTTTTTACTTATTCGATTTTTCAAAATATTGCGCCTTTTTAAATCTTACATTTTTCAGGTTTTTGATTATGTACTTTTGTTTCTAAAATTTTGGATTTTTCGATTTTTCAATTTCTCGATTAATGAATTTTTTAATTTTTCGACTTTTTGATTTTGCGTCTTTCCGATTTCTGGATTTTTCAATTTTTCGATTTTCAGATTTTCAATGTTTAAGTTTTGGGATTTTTCAATGTGTTTCGGTTTCTAAATTTTTAGATTTTTCGACTTTTTATTTTTTTGATTATTTACTTATCCGATTTTTCAAAATATTGTGACTTTTTAAATCTTACGTTTTTCAATTTTTTGATTTTTCGATTTGTTGAAGTTTTGATTGCTCGATTTTTAAAATTTTCAATTTTCCGAATTTTAAATTTTAGATTTTTTACTTTTTTGTTATTCTGATTTCTCAATTTTTTGATTTTTCAAGTTTTCGGGATTATTTTTTCAGTTTTTCGATACTTCGATTTTTCGATTGAAGGGTTTTCTTTCGATTTTTCGCCTTCTCGTTTTTAGATCTCCGGTTTTTCAATTTTTCGGAATAAATTTTTCAGTCTTTCGATGTTTTGATTTTCCATTTTTTGGTTCATAGTTTTTTTTAAGTTGAAATTTTTCAATTTTGAATTGTTCCCTTTTTCGATTTTTAGCCATTATTTCACAGTTTTTCGAATTTTCGACTTCTGGACCTCTCGAGTTTTTGTTGTTTCGATTTCGGGATATTCCAAATTTTCGACGTTTCAGTTTTGGGATTTATGTACTTATTTAAATTTTTCGATTTTCCAGTTTTTGGCGCTTCTAAATTTTTGGATTTTTTGATTGTTCAATTTCTCGATTAATGAATTTTTTTAGTTTTTCAACTTTTCGATTTTTCGTCTTTTCGATTTATAAATTTTTCGATTTTTCGACTTTTCGTGTTTTTGATTTTTTACTTATTAGATTTTTCAAAATACTGCGACTTTTTAAATCTTACATTTTTCAATTTTTCGAATTTTTAAATTTTTCACTTTTCTATTATTCCGATTTCTCAATTTTTTGATTATTCGGGATTAATTTTTCAGTTTTTAGATATTTCGATTTTTCAATTTTCGATCGAAGGGTTTTCTTTCGATTTTTCGCGTTCTCGTTTTTACAATTCCGGTTTTTCAGTTTTTCGGAATAAATTTTTCAGTTTTTTGATATTTTGATTTTTCACTTTTTGGTTCATCGTTTTTTTTTAAGTTGAAAATTTTCAATTTTGAATTTTCCTATTTTTTGATTTTTAGCCACTATTTCACAATTTTTGGATTTTTCGACTTCTCGACTTCTCGATCTTTTGTTGTTTCGATTTCGCGATATTCCAATTTTTCGACGTTTCAGTTTTGGGATTCATGTACTTATTTAAATTTATCGATTTTTCAATTTTTGGCGTTTCTAAATTTTTGGATATTTCAATTTCTCGATTAATGGATTTTTTATTTTTACGACTTTTCGATTTTTCGTCTTTCCGATTTCTGGATTTCTCAATTTTTCGATTTGCAGATCTTCAATGTATAAGTCTTGGGATTTTTCAATATGTATTTCGATTTCTAAATTTTTAGATTTTTCGACTTTCTGTTTTTTGATTTTTTAGTTATTCGAATTTTCAAAATTTTTAGGAATTGTTAAATCCTACATTTTTCGATTTTTCAATTGTTTGATTCTTCGATTTGTTGATGTTTTGATTTCTCGATTTTGTAAATTTTCAATTTTTTGAATTTTAAAATTTTTCAATTTATCGGGTTTTTTAAGTTTACCTACATGTTTCAATTTTTTTAATTTACAATTTTTCGATTTTACATTTAGCTCGATTTGTCAACTTCTAGATCGTTTATTCAGTGTTTGGATTTTCCATTTTCTCGATTTTTAATGTTTCTAGTTTTCAAATTTTTTATTTTTCGGTCTCCCAGATTTTTGATTTGCAATTTTCTATATTTCAGTTTTGCACTTCCTCAATTTTTCAATTTGTAGAAATTTAAAATTTTCCTTGTTAATTAATCCAAATTTCACTTTTTAATTTAGTTTTTAAATTTTTCAAGTTCTCAAATTTTTAATGTTTCATTTTCCCGGTTTCAAATTTAATAAAAGAAAAACAAATTTATTAAAACTAAAATTTTCACGATTTTACAGCTTTTGGAAATTTCAATTTTTATGTTAAAATTTTCCTTAACAAATTAATTTTTAATTGCTTTCACCGCGTTTATTTCTATTGCGTTAACTGAGCATTTTTTTAGTAGCACCCAATTTTGAGTTTTTCAAAATTCTTTAGTTTTCCGATTTTGCAATTTCTCGATTTTCCGATTTTTGCTAAATTTTAAAATATTTCAATTTGCAATTTTTCGAATTTATTTTAAGTTTTTCGAAGTTTCTACTTATCAACTCATGATTTTTTAAATTTTTCGATTACTCAATTTTACAATTTTTGCTTTCCTGGATTGTTCGATCTTTTTTAGTTTCCGCGTTTTCAATTTTTCGTTCCTACGGTTTTTCGATTTTTCAATTTTGTTTACTTTATTTGAATTAAACGATAATTATAATTTTCATGTCTTTAATTTTTTGATTTGCAATGTTTTTCAAGTTTTCAATTTTTAGTTTTTTCAGATTTTAGTTTTTAAATAATCGAGATCTCGTTTTTTCATTTTTAAATTTCGGTTAAAAAGAACAAGTTTATTCAAACTGAAATTCTTCGAAAAATGGAAACTTCCAAAATAAAAAAATTGGAAATTTAACAAGTGAAAAGACGAAAATATAAAATATCGAAAAATTGGGAAATCAAAAAATCATCATGCAAAGAACCAATCTAAAAGGTGGAACAACGAAATATTGAAAAATCGAAAAATTCAAAAGTGTAAGATATAAAAATTAAAAAATTTAAACTGAAACTCAAAAATTTGCGGAAACGAAAAATTAAAAATCGAAAAACTGAAAATTCGAAAAATTAAGAAAGCAAACTTTTAAATTCGATTTTCTCAATTTTTTAATTTACAGTTGTTCGATTTTACAGTTAGTTCGTTTTGTCAATTTCTACATCGTTTATTCAGATTTTAGATTTTTCAGTATCTAGATTTTTAACACTTCGATTTTCAAATTTTCCATTAGCGAATTTTGTTTCGTCAAATGTCGACTTTAGGTTTTCTAATTTTCAATCTTTAATATTTCAAGTTTACAATTTTTGGAATTTTTTTATTTTTCGATTTTGAAATTCTCTCAAATATTTACATTGCAATTTTTCGATATTTCAATTCTGCACTTCCTTAATTTTTCAATTTGTAGATATTTTAATTTTTCCAGTCCTAAATTTTTTAATGTTTCATTTTCCTAGATTCTCATTTTTAATGTAATTTAAAAAGAACAAATATTTTTAAAACTGAAATTTTCACGATTTTTCAATTTTTATGTTTAAATTTTTCCTAACTAATTAATTTTTAATTTCCTTCATAGTTTATTTTTGAGTTTTTAAAAATTCTTCACTTTTCCGATTTTGCAATTTCTAGATTTTAAAATTATTCGATATTACAGTTGTAAACTTTAGTTCTTTCAGATTTTCCATCTGCAATTTTTCGTTTCTTGGTTTTTTCGAATTTTTAAGTTTCTGGTTTTTAAATTTTTCCTTCCTTAGATTTTTGGATTATTCATTGAAAAACTGAGAAATCAAATAATAATAATTCAAAGAACCGAACTAAAAGATGAAGCCACGAAATATTGAAAAATCGAAAAATTCATAAGTGAAAAATCTAAAAATGAAAAAATTTAAACTGGAAACTCAGAAATTTGCGGAAACGAAAAATTAAAAATCGAAAAACTGAAAATTCGAAAAATTAAAAAGCAAACTTTTAAATTCGATTTTCTCAATTTTTTAATTTACAATTGTTCGATTTTACAGTTAGTTCGTTTTGTCAATTTCTAGATCGTTTATTCAGATTTTGGATTTTTCAGTTTCTAGATTTTAATACTTCGATTTTCAAATTTTCCATTTGCTAATTTTTGTTTCTTCAAATTGTCGACTTTAGGTTTTCTAGTTTTCAATCTTTAATATTTCAAGTTTACAATTTTTGGAATCTTTTTATTTTTCGATTTTGTAATT